AAGGGGTGGGTGTCAACAGAGAAATCTTTACAGGGAATCAGACTTACTCTGCTCACCTCTTTATCCTCAACAGCACAAGGTCTGCTTTGAGCAAAAAGATAGCACCTGACGCTGAACTTGTGGAACTTCTGATCTGAACAACGTAGCTCGAGTGACTTCAAAGAAAAAGTTAAAATGTTTTGTTTTTTTAAAGGAGGTGCTCTTATGTCATGTTACAAATATCTAATGTTGCCGTCGTTTACACTTTGAGGTGTCAAGATGTCGTTTCCTCTACAGTGACGCCCAGGTCGGGGCAACCAGAATGATACAAATAGACAACATGCATGCACAATGAACCAGTGGGAAGAGAACGGGACACAATTCAGGCCACAGACAGTCGTAAAGGAGCACAGGTAGACAAACAGCCCTGACAGACTGGAGGGAAACATGTAGTAATATTGAAAGCAACGTCCACGATATTGTACGACCACTCACCACATTCAGTACACACGCAAACGGGATGAACAAAGGGAGAAAACCAGAGGAGAATGACCAGACCTGAAGAGGGAAATTCAATACACATAAATAGATTGGTTTATATGAAATAATATATGATTTAAAATATAAATTAATTACACAGACTTATGACTTATGACTATTACTATCAGAAATCAACAAAAAACACATAGGAATAAACCATGTTTTCCTGAAAGGTCGAATCATTGTGGCAAAAATACAGCACACACTTGTCAAATGTTTCCCAGTCCTTCTGTAGAAGTTAGACGGTCTGTACATGACCTGGAGATCTATCACTGCATGTGCCATCTAGGAGGGATGAAGTGGACAAGAAAAAAAAACCAAAATAAAATATAAAACCTACAAACAACATCAGCTGTAACTGACTGTATTGATGCTTTGAACAAACCCTCCACACACCACCCCTCCACACACCACACCACATCACATACACCACACCCCAACAACCCCCCATCACTCACCTGCACCTCCGTTCCCTTGAAGGTGAGCTCTATGATGTCCAGCCACTCAGCTCTCGTGTAAACAAACACCCGGATGAAACCTCTCGCCACCTGCAAATCGTTCTTCACCGTCAACAAAGTGGGGGCATGGGAAATGTGCACCGTTAAAAAGATGAATAAATAACAAAAAGTGCTGTGCTTTTCAAAAAAGTGAAAAGAAAGAAAGGAAAGGAGAAATGGTCAAACAGACCAACCCACGAGGAGCTCAAGTCCCGTCCAATGACGTAACAACAGACCAAACCAGGAGGAGCTCAAGTCCCGTCCACTGACGTAACAACAGACCAACCCACGAGGAGCTCAAGTCCCGTCCAATGACGTAACAACAGACCAAACCAGGAGGAGCTCAAGTCCCGTCCACTGACGTAACAACAGACCAACCCACGAGGAGCTCAAGTCCCGTCCAATGACGTAACA